AAGTGTAAATAAGGACTAAAATGTATAATAGGTCATGTGAAATAGGAAGAAAAGGGGCAAAGGGGAAGGAAGTGGGAGGGTTAGGGGAAAGGAAAGAAGGGAATGGAATTAGTATGAGAAAATAAAAAAATGGAAACAAAGTCTTTGTAAATAGGGAGGGATGGAAGGGTTGAAGGGAGGGCAGGGGAAGGGGGAAAAATAAGAAGCAAGAGAGGTTATGTAAAGGTGCAAATTTCCAAGGATGAATGTCATTATATTGCACACCTAAAATGTACCAATAAAATAAAAATTAAAAAGAAAAGATTTTCCTTATGCTGGACTTCCAGGATTTTGACTATGGTATGATGTATTGAGGTTTTTGCTGATTGTCACTTTTTGGAGTTCTATATTCCTCACTTATCTGTATGTTAAATTTTTGATATTATTTCAGCAAAAGCGTTTTTATGGCAGTTGTGCTATCTTCTGATTTTTCATTAATTCTCCTTAACCTTACCTTCTTCTTTGCATCATTTAGGAGCACATGGATCCATCTGATATGTTCTCTTGCTTCTAAGTTATCTCTCATTAACTGGCTACTGATAACAGCCCTGCCTTCTAGTTCTGACACTGTACTCACAATGGTCACTTCTGCTGCCCGTACTTCTGACAGAATTTTTAGTGTGGATTTGTTTGGAGCCATTTATGGGGTCTGATTCTTTTCTGTGCAGGTCACGTATGTTTCGCATTGCTCTGTTTAGCTCTCCTATCTGTATTAGTGTCATCTTTAAACTTGCTAATCATTTTATTTTGTCCAACATCTTACTACTTATGTCTTTTTTGAACTTTCCAAGTGCCTTGCTGATCTGTTTTCTTATCTTTCTTAATATTTTAAAAAATATTCTGGGTGTATGGCTTTTGGATTTTTCCCCTTTGATGTCATATGGATCACCTTCATGGGTGTTAGAAATTCTTATAGGAATTTTGTTGGCTTGTCTTCTTAGGTTTCTATTTTTTGTTTTGTGTGTGCACTGAGGCTTGTCGATTGATTGTACTGGAAGGTGTTGTTTCTAGTGTGGAGAACTCTTTAGTTAATCTGTTTTCAGAGGTATCTGCATGTGGCTGTTGGCCTTTGCCTCTGTCCCAGGAATCAACCACAATCTTTCACTTCAGCTGGGAGGTTGCACTTTATTTGGCCCAGTACCCAGGTTTCCAGAAATGGGCCACGATATTGTTAGTGACCCCAAAGTAATCCAAATTTTGGCATCCCAAGAAAACCAATTAATAGCAACAACTTTGTCAACTTAGCTTTAGTTATAAAATGAGCATTGATTATAGTGCCAAATACAAACTGAATATTGACAAACATTAAGGACTAATAAAGCACTATGCTTAACCATAAAAAAGAGATCCATGATTGTAGTATGAACAAGAAGACAAACCAAATATTGACTTGCAGTATCTACTAAATAGAACAACTTTACTTCTACTAACAATAGAACAGTATTCAATAACAGTAGCATAAAGTTAACTAGCTATCCAGAGATTCATAAAGTTTTGTAGTTATACTAATAAAGATACAGTGGGTGGGGAGCTGGCAAATGTATATAGCAAAATTTGCAAAATCAAGGAGATACGAGAGGGAGGGAAAAAAAAGGTGAGATGGCAGACTTGAGGAGTAAAAGGAAATTAATGGTGACAGAGAACAGTCACAAGAAAGAATGAACAAAAAAGAGAAGGAAAAGATAAACAGAGCAAAAGTAGGAAATAAATATAAGGAAAAGAAAAAGTGGAAAGAGAAAAGCATATAAAAGAAACCAAAAGAAAGGGAGAAAGGAGTAAAAATCCCAAGGCTCCTCCCAAACCCAATGAAGAAAAGATAAAAGTAATATAAAATGCGGGGGAGGGGGGTGGAGATTGGGTCAAAGAAAAATTCCTGTGCTATTTTTGTTAAATTCTTTTATTGATATATTTTAGGTATACAACACAATTACATTTCTCATTGGGAATTGTACCTTTACATAATGCATCCTGGTTCTTATTTTTTCCCCATTCCTAGCCCTCC